CAGTGGTGGAAGGTCACCAACAGCCATGCAGTGACCATCCAGGATAACTCGCCCCCCACGCCTTCTGCCCACTGGGTCTCAATGGCCCTGTCAGTCAGGAAAGAGACAACTGTGGTGCGTTTGGTCTAGAACATCCCAACAGGTGCTTGCTCCTCTGTCTCGAGGGATAAAAAGGCAGATTTTCTTTCTTTCTTTCTTTCTTTCTTTCTTTCTTTCTTTCTTTCTTTCTTTCTTTCTACTGGGGATCGAACTCAGGACCTTGCGCTTACAAGGCAGCAGCACCACTGAGCTAAATCCCCAGCCCTAAAAAAGGAAGATTTTATGCTCTCTAGTCCTAGGCCAGGGTCTTCTTAAAACTTCCCAAAGCACATAATCATCTACAGTCAAAATAGCAAAAGCATTTCTCGCTCGCACTAAGGGATAGACTGTAAGTACAACTGATAAATACTCAGATATATACATCAAAATAATGAACTAATAAAGGAATTGGCTCTTTTCAGATTAAATGTAGGACTACTTGTAATAACATGGATGACTTTTACAAGAATTCTATAATTTGCCAATTCCAAAGAACCACAGCTGGGTGTGCTGGCTTTTGCCTGTAATCCCTGCACTCTGCCAGTCAGAGGCAGTAAGATTTTGCATATTCAAGCCCAGTGGGGCAGTTTAGTGATTTAGCAAGACCTTGTCTTAAAAACAAAACAAACAAAAACACTAAAAAAAGGGCTGGGATTGTAACTCCAGGTGAAGGCCTTGGGTTACTCCCCAGTGCTGACATAGGAGGTAGGATATGGAAAAGCTAGCTGGGAAAATAAGCAGGAACTGTCAATCACAAGATCCCAGGACAGCACCAAATAATTCCCAGGACCCCGTATGTAGAACTTCTCTCGGGTCCCCAGAGATGTGGACAGCATAAAAGAGAAGAGACACCACGGGAGCCACCTATTAGGACTCCTCACAGTAGCCCACTCTATGTTTTCACTTTTATTTTTGCTTTTTTCCTTTCCTCTCTTTGTTTAGCCCAAGTTTGCTCTCCAGAGCCACTCTCTCCCTTACTTCTTCACCCTGCACTGTTCAAATAAACTTGTGGCACCTTTTGGCTTGGCTTGTCCTATTCTTTGTTCGAGGCAAGAAGGACCTGGAATACTTTTAATTGGTGAGCCATTTCTAAAGCAACTACCCAACAACAGCAGCACACACACACACACACACACACCATAAAACCACATATTTTCTAGTACAACTTTAAATTATGGCTTTCACACTGTAATTTCCTCTATTTTTAAAATTTGTCTTCTCTTTTCCATTTTTCTTGATCTTTTTTTAAAAAATGTACTTCTGGAACATACCTGTGCTCTCTCTCTGTCTCATACTGGGATTGAACTGAGGTCCTTTGCATGAGCTACGTTCCCAGCCCCTTGTTATTTTTATTTTTATTTTTTATTTATTTATTTATTTGGTACTGGGGATCGAACTTGGGACCTTGCACTTGCCAGGCAGGCTGCAGCACCACTGAGCTAAATCCCCAGCCCCTTGTTATTTTTATTTTGAGATGGGGTATCACTGAGTCGCTAAATTGCCTAGGCTGGGCTCGAACTTGCAACTGTTCTGCATGGGCCTCCCTGAGTGCTGTGGTTTCAGGCATGCACCACCACATGTGGTTCTTAACTCATCCTTACGATTTTATCTTTTCCATTAATCATTGAACATAAGAAGATGTTTTTAAAAAGCTATTTTTCCACAGAAAAGGCACAGACTGTACAACAGAAAAATGTTTGTGAGATAAGTTATGGTGTTACTAGTAAGCTGACCTCATTTCTAAGCTATTATAAAGATACAAATACTCAATTTTTAGAGGTATGACAATTTATGTTTGTATATTTCAGAGAGCTTATTATAAGCCTAGGTGAAATTAATACTTGAACCCTGGTATTATATAGAATAATACTTCTGGCCAGGGATGTAGCTCAGTGGCACTGCACCTGACTGGCAAGTGCAAGATCCTGAGTTCAATCCCCAGTACTGAAGGAGGGGAAAAAAAAGGCTGCTTCCGCTCTGGTTTTGCATTTACTATTGATATTGTAAATCACAGACTACATCTTAGGATGAAACCACAAATATTTACAGTTATGTTCATGAATCTGAGCATCCCAGGTGCTTCATTTCGAAACGTTTTAAAAATGTGAATGGCACCTGACATTTACATCTTGGTTGATTTATAGAGCATCAGAGATTTCAGTGGCCTTGGTTGGATAACCACTGACATGTGCTACCAGACGGGTACATCAGCTCAGGCCCTCCCAGCAACAGGGGCATTTGCCACATGTTATGTTCAGCATCCAGTGCACTTGGGCAGCTCTTCAGGGGATAAAGTTACGCACAGAGACTGCTCATATTTACCACTGTAAAGTCAGCAGATCAGCTACAATTTCCTCCTGTGGTCAGAAAGAATGACAGTATCACATGAAAGGTAGATGACCACTGGGGTAAGGATGGTTGTCAGGGGAGGGGCCGGATTCTCCCCCTCCACCATGGAAACCCGACACCACCACCTCTCCAGCACGGGGGCTGAACTTTCCCTGGGACTGCCCTAGGGTGGCAACTGTTATTTAAAGGAATTGTGGTTATTGAGCCTAAAGGAAGTAAAGAAAGCTTTTTTCTTCTTCTTCTTCTGTGGTATTGGGGATGGAGTAAAGGGCCTTTGAGTTGAGTTACATCCCAGCCCTTTTGTTTTTGTTTTTTATTTTGAGCCAAGGTCTTGCCAAGTCTCCAAGTTGCCCAGACTGGGCTTGAACTAGAGAGATCTTCCTGACTCGGCCTCCCAGAGTAGCAAGTTTTATTTGCATTTCAGCCTGTGTGTATTTCACAGCATCTTGTAGCATTTCGTCTGTTACAATTTCCAACAGTGAATCGCAGTGTTGGCATTCTGTCCATTTCACCCCTGTCGAGACTCTCATTATATTTTCGGACCTCCTTCTAGCATTAGATCTTTCCATTTGGTTGCATGGCCATTTTGCAACATTTTGACTAGTCAAATATGTACTCACATTGCAGTTTTCTTCCTCATCTCAGTCAAGGAGGTCTGCACTCCCTGTGTCTGTATCAGTCAATTCTTGCTTCATTTCACTGTCACAAGAACTTTGGTTCACATGGCCAGTGTCAGAGTCATCATCATCATCATTATCCACCCACACCACTCTTCTGTTATGAAAACATGTATTTTACCATAATAGAGTATCTTTATCATTCATGCATGAGGTTTTGACCTTCTTCAAAACTTGCAAATCTGGTTTTTCATGTACCACTGTACTGAATTGGGCTTCTTCTACCAGAAAAATCAAAAGAAAACTTTTTAAAACAAATCCTGGAGTGGTGTGGGTCTATTGGACCCTCTGTGATGCTTGGATAAACATATGCAAAACCAGTTAGATGAAACATAATATGGGTAAAAATCCCGTTTTGCCACTTTTGCACACTTGCACACACCTTGTTGTTTGTCATACCAAGTGGGTAAACACATACATTGCTTCCTGTATCCCTCAGGGAAAGGCACTGAAACTCACAGCTGGCTACTATTATGCTAAAGTACAAATTTACAGTAGAAAAGTAAGGGATGGGTCCAAGGGACCCAGTGTCATGCTGGGCAGGTTAAAGGAACCTCACACACTCAGACCAGGTCTAGAATACAATCATTTCTTTCCTAATCACCAAGTATCAGAAAACTGAGATGAAACCATTTGAAGATATCTTCTACTTTCTCATTTTTAAAAAAGTTCCTTGTAAAAGGGATAAGGGCTTTTAGATCCATGTTAAAGACTTGTGAACCTATAAAAATATATAAACAACCACAACTCCATATGGAACAGGAAATGCTGAAAAAGTGAGACTCAGTCTCATAATTTCTCATTTTACTCACAGACAATGTACTTGGCCAGAGTATTATTTTTCTAGATACAATTAAATAACCGTGAGCAAGCCAGAAATCGCATGTGTATAGAAAAAAGGTGGCTAAGTTGTTCACTACTGTTAATTTCCATAATCTTTTAAATACAAAACACACAGTTTTTACTCATTTATTGCAGAACTGTCGTGGGAAGTTCTGGTGAAAAAGCAACAACTTCCGTATTACTTCCTCTCAAGGAAATCGTCTGGGATGCTGTGTGGCTAAGGGTAGCAGAGACCAGTACTTCGTCTCGTCTCCCTCCTTCAAACCTGAAACGTGGCTTATTTCTCCCAAAAGTTCAAGCTACATTAGAGGAATCTCTTAATTCCAAGATGCTGAATTGCAGCATCCCTTGTCCATCCTTCCTTTTGCTTCAGAAAAAGCTGTTCTGGATGTCACTATAGCTTTTCTGGTGTGTAAAACTAGGAGAACAAAACAACTAAGTGTACGGTACTTATCTACAGCTCAACCTTCAGAAGTACTGTAATTGGCAGGGAAAGCTAATCAGCTTAGATTAGCATTAGAATACAAGCCATTTGGGTCCTAGGCCTTTAATAAATGAATGCCCTTAGGCTTCTAAGATTTGTGACTCCTAGAAGCTCCCACAGGCTTTTAAGAACTAAAAGACAGTTTTCCCTTCACCCTCCCTCCACATCGTCCCTCTTTCCTTACACACACCCAGCAGGAAACCCCCTCTATGGCCGGAGACCCCAGGCCCACCTCAGCCTCTCTCCCGAGTCCTCCATCTCCAGGGCGTCTAAGAAATTCAGAGCAGCTTCTTGTTCCTTTCCAGACTTGGGAGCAAGCAGGGGAGGAAGCTGTGAGCTTCCTCACATCTCACAAACACAACAGCAAAATGCCCCGTAAGGGAGCATCCCGCCAGCGGAGGGCGAACAGCAGCCTGCTCAGAACGGAGGACAGAAGATCCCTCGGGCGTCTGCAGCGCCACCAACCATCGTCCCCTTTCCGCCAAGCGCGTCCTTCTCTGACAAATCCGCGCGCGCGCGCATTCCCACGCACAGCCTTGTCACAGGCAAAGTAAATCCTAAGCCGTTACCTTCATTGTGCCGCTGGCCGCGGGGTCCCACGTGTCCCAGCTCGTGGCCGTGTGGCCGGGTTGGCACCGCGCGGTCCCCTCCGCTGCAGGATCCGAGGCACCACACGTGGCTGGCGGGGTGGCGCTGGAGACCCGGCGAGGTCGGTCCGCGGATTGCGTCAGCAGGAAGACGCCGAGCCTGCGCCCCCAGACGCCCCCCGACGGCCGCATCGCGCCCAGCACCGAGCCTCCCTCTGCTCCCTCCTGGGGGCACCGGGGTGGCAGAGACTGTGCCACCCCCGAAGGGAGTTGGTGCTCGCCAGCGCGTCCCAGAGAGTGGAGATTCCGTGCATCATGCGTGTGGGCACGACACGGAGAAGGAAGGGGAAGGAAACAGATCGGAGACAAACGCGATTGCCATTTTCTCCACCGAGCTTTGTCGCCGCTGACCACCCGGCTCCCACTGCCCGCAAAGTAAATTTCCTGGTCCGGATAACCCAGCTCACAATTATCTGCTGGAGGCTCATCTTCGAAAGCAGAACGTTTGCTATTTTTTTTTTTTAATGGTACAGGACATGTGGCTGGTTTTTACAGGTTTTCTTTGCTTTCTTTCACCTTTCCTCCAGTCCCCCCGAGTCTCCGCAATTCCCTACCCTCCCTTGCCAGTTTGTTAGGACCTGGCAAGCAATTCCCGGTCCTCCGACGTGAGCACAGAGACTTCTTCCTGATGTGAAGCTGCCTGCTGGCCTGGGGCATCCCTGGTAACTTTCCTCCCTGTCCACCAGGACACAAAGCCCCGCACCAGCCTCCATGGCTTTGTTTGTGGGACCTTCAGGTTGATTCCAGCTCTCTGGGTCAGTTTAGCAAACCCTGTTTTTGTAAATCTAAACCTAAGTCTTTTCTGCAAAGTCACCGCTGACTCCTTCAAAAGAATTGGGCACGTCGTTTTGTCCCTGACCCCTCCTTTTCTTCCCTCCCTTCCTCCCTCCCCCGCTTCCTTCCTTCCTCTCCTCCTTTCTCTTTCTGTTATTTCCATACGCCAGACACTGTGCAAGATGCCATGCATGGATAGAGTGGTAGACAACATAAAAATTTCTTACACTCATGGAGCTTATATTCTTTTTAATTCTTTTATTGGTACATTTTAGGTATACAATACGTTTACATTCATCATTGGGTGCTCATACCTGTACATGATGTATCTTAGTTCTTATTTTTTTTCCCCATTACCTGTGCACCCTTCACCCCTTCCACCCTTCCCTATTTGCATAGATTTCGGTGGGGTTTTTTTCCGGTACCGGGGATTGAACTTGGGTCCTTGTGCTTGTGCAGCAGGCAGCGAAACCACTGAGCTAAATCCCTGGCCCTTTTTTTTTCTTTTCTCATAATTTTTCCTTTTCCTTCTTCCCTTTCCCCTTCCCCTCCCACCACCCCTACACCTTTTACACCTTTGGACCTTTTCCTATTTCAAATTATCAAATATTCTATTGTGGGAAACACAGTGAACTTCAAATCAGGTAGCAAAATACTCATGAACTGATAAATGGATATATAAATTGCGGTATACTTCATTCTATGAACTATCATTCCACAGTAAAAAGAAAATGAAGTCTGGGGATGTAGCTCAGTGGCAGAGCACACACTCAGCATGCATGAGGTCCTGAGTTCAATTCCCTACACCATAAATATATGGGTAGTAATATTTAGACACACTGTACCGTGGGCACACTTTGAAAACATTACACAAAGTGAAAGAGTGCAGACACAAGAGGTTACCTGCCATATCTTTCTGTTTATCAAAAATGTTCAGACTGGGAAGATCCACAGAGACAGAAACCTGGAGAAAAGATGGAATTAGGGGGTGAAGTTAATGGATTCAGAAATTCTTTTAAGGATGACTAAAATGTTCTAAAATGAGTTTGTGTTAATGCTTGCTCAAAGCTAAACACACTAAAATACATTGAATTATACTCTTTAACAGGTTAACTGGATGACATGTGAATTTTATCTTTACGAAGAGGTTCTTTTTAACAATCAGGCAGTGTGTGGTGAATTTTATGATAGATGATCATAAAGGCATAGAGCCTGCCTGGGAAGGACTTCTAGGTTAAAGCACCTTCCTAGGTGAGGAGGAGAGGAAAAAGTGGCATGAAAACAAAGAGCTTGAAAGGAAGCAAGAAGAGAATAAAGTGAAGGACGAATTTGGGAATGAACATCCTCAGGGGCCTGAGAGAACAACGTGGCTCTGCCTGTCCTCCTATTTTCGGTGCTGAGAGGGACAGCTCTCCCTCATTGCTGCATGGACATTCCCAAGGCTTCTCTGACAACAAAAGTGCTCTCACCAGTGATAGGCTCATGACCACTAGCATAGTTACTCTGAGAATGGCATTGTTCCTCCACGTCACAGCTCATAGATACTGAAGGAAGCAGATTTCTCCAAAGTTGACGAGGAGACATATCATTGGCAGGTCATTATCTGGGGGCAGTGTCTTTTCTTGAATTTGGAGAAGAGACAGAATTTCTAACTAAATCAGAGACGCTACCTTGGAAATGGACATCAGAGCCTCAAACAACCCAGCTTCTTCCTGTTGTCACTGTTATAATAAAGTGTATAATTGTAGTCAGTATTAAAATGTATGGCAATTACTTGCAGGCAGAATTTCTGTCCTGTATCTTACTCATTTTCCCCAGAGGAAGGGAAATTCACAAATCTATGCCCTGCCCTATAAGCAGTCCCAGGGCTTTGGGTAGGACAATTACTAGAAGCAATGAAATACTTAGGAAAAGTAGAGGATAGTCTATTCTAAAATTCCACTCTGCAAACTCAGAAAAAAAAAAATCTCATCTTTCACTTTCTCTATTTCTCATAATGAAAAATACTTCAAAATTTTGTTTTTTATATTTCCTATAATACTTTCATTCATTGCCTATTACATGTATTTGTACATAGACACTAAGTTCAGTTCTCAAAAATCATTTATACTGCATTTTGTGTAATATTTCCCAGTACAATTTAGATTCAATGCATTTACCTTTAGCCTCACCATATATGCTCTAGTACTTAATCCCCATGTAAAATTTGACTCATTGCATCTGAGAGGTTGGCCACTCCATTAGAACTGAAGGACTGGGCCAGGGATGTAGCTCAGCGGTACTGTGGCTGCCTCGAAAGTGCAAGGTCCTGAGTTCGATGCCCAGTACCTAAATAAATAAATAAATAAATAAAACTGAGGGGCCACCCAGCTGGATAATTGCTTGTGCCCAAAGCTAGTAACATCCAAAGAAAGTAAGGGCAAGGTACTTGAGACAGACGGGGCTAGAATGTGAAGATAGGAAATCAAAGACCAGGTACAAGTGGGATGACTACCTTGCATTTAGAGGGCATGAGAAGAAAGAAGTGTGGTCATTAATAAGGACTTCCTCTTGAACATGGTAACTTCTATATTCAACTCTCCCCAGATAACTCCATGAACTTTGGATGAACTATCTCTTGACAAGGGAGACAGAAGATTAGTGTTTGTATAAGTTCTTCATATTTTCTTCTCAGTTCAATTTGTAACTCCTTGGAAAAGCAAAGCCTAACCCTATAGCAACCTCTAATCTAAGTGAAGAACCAAGGAGCCCTTTGATAAGTGATCATCATACAAAGGTAAGGCATGGAGCAAGGAAAATGAAGCACTGGCTTTAGAGCCACATCTGAGTTTCACTAATTTGCAATGTCTGACCTTTCACAAGTTATGTAATCTCTCTGAAACTGTGCTCTCTCTCTCTCTCTCTCTCTCTCTCTCTTTCTTTCTTTCTCCCCCCCCCCCCCCGCCGGTCTCTCAGTTCAGTATTGGGAATTGAACCCAGGGCCTTCACACTGAGCTACAGTCCCAGTTTTTTGTTTTGTTTTGTTTTATTTTTTCTCTTTTGAGATAGGGTCTTTATTATGTAGTTCAAGCTGGCCTTAAACTCATGGTTATCCTCCTGCTTCAGCTTCCCAAGTGGTTAGATTACAGGCATACACCACTGTGCCCAGCTTCCCAGCCCTTTTTTATTTGACAGGGTCTTGCTAAGTTGCCCAGGCTTGGCTAGAACTTATGATCCTGCTGCCTTAGCCTCCAAGAGTTCTGGGATTACAGGCTTTTACAATTTTTTTAATCACTAAGATAAGGGAAAGAGTACCTAACATAGAAGTAAAATACAGAAGATAAATGAGGCAGTAGGTGTCCGGTGTCCAGTGCTGGACCTCCTGTCTTTATATTCCATCCCCATGTGTCTCCATCACTCCTCTAGGGCAATCCTTTCCCCAAACTGTACTATATATCCCGTTTGTCACTATTCTTTCAAGTTCAATTAACCCAAGTTCAATCACATAATCTTCCTTCTTAAACCTGCTTGGCCTGCTGACTTCCTTCTGTCTGCTGACGACTCTGACATCCTCTAGTCACCAGGCTCCAAACCTGAACATACTTCATGCCTTTATAGATGACATTTAAAGGCAGAGGGGAAGGGCAGAGCTTCCTATGGCCTCTTGTCACCAAGCCTTCCCAGTTCTATCGAGGAGACCTTTCATAGTTATCCTCCCTCTGCTCCCACTCTTGTTGCCCCAGTTTAATCGCCATTCCCCCTTCCCCCTGGATGACCCTTACCCCTACTCTAATCTTGCCTTGCTCCACTCTATCCAACACAGATGGCAGGGAATCTTCCTAGACCTCGGTTCTGATTAGTTTTCCTCCTGTGCAGAAACATGTAGCTTCTACTCATGTTTTGTCATAAGAATCAAATGTAAGCTGCAGCGCCCTTGAAATCTTCCATCATAGTTTCTGTACAGTGCTACTTGGGATATTTTTTCCTTCACCTTGCTTGCCTATATGATGCCTATTGTCAAGACCCATTTTAATTACTAGAGCTCCTTTGTAGCCTTTCCTGAAGCAAATCCTTGTGATACACCAGTGGTTCTCAACTGGAAGTGATTTTGTATCCCCAGGGGGCATTTGGCAATATCTGGAGACATTTTTGGAAACACCTAGGGATGTGGGGAAGAATTCCTATTGGTATTTAAGGGCTAGAGGCCAGGGATGCTGTACACATAGGACAAGCCCCTCCACAAACCCCAAAGAAGAGTTATCTTACCCAAAATATCAATAGTCCCCCAAACCCTGCCCATACACTCATTGATGTACATACTGCTTTTGTACCAGTGCTGTGTATGTCTTAGTGAGCCCTTGCTAGGTGACTTCCGTGAAGACAGGAAGCTGTTATCTCCCTGTTGACCACAGAGTGCTGACTGCCTTTCAGGCTATGCCTTCTCAGTTCCTTTACTACACCTTCTACCTCTTATTCATTTGCTCTCTTGAGATATTCTTCTCCCTCAGAGTTTCATCCTCGGTCCTCAATTTTTTTCTCATTCATTTTGAAATCATTCCATACAGGAATTCATCTACTCTTTAGCTGATACAGTTACTTTATCTACTAAGAGGCTATTCTCCTCCTAATGGAACCATAATTTGTTTCTGTAGAGTAGGGTACAGACTGTGTCTAGTCCTGGGCTATTAATAGTTAATTCAAGGCAATCACGATGGTCTCATTTTACTTTGCAGTATACAATTTCCCC